TGGGTAGCGCAGTCGAAAATACAGGGTCTGGCGTGCAACCCGTGTCGATCTCTGGTGGATACTCAATTAGCAGACGGGAGGGTATGCAGTAGTTCGTAAATCTCCCCTGAGTCTATCTGAAAATACGGGTAGCGATGCATGACTCTACTCGAAATTCCATATACCCTCCTAAGCTAGTGGAAAGTCGCCCAGGGACTCTCCAGCGAATCTCAGCACGAATGATGCAAAAACAAGGGATGTCCTGCGAGAGTCGTCGATACCTACCCCGCCCCTCGTTGCAGTTGATGCGAAACGGAGGGAGGAAACCCCCCGCCCTTCCCCCCCCGCAGCTCCTAGCCCTCTTTGGTCGGCTCTTCCGATGCCCTATACCGGCGCTCCATACTAGCCGGATTGTTGGATGTGTGTGGATGAGATGATTGTATTTCTTAGCTACAAGCAAGATGGTAGATAAAGGAAATACATGACTGTCGAGCCTCCTCTCCTGCTCCTGGATCACCCAAAGCCCTAAACACCTATAAATGAGGGTAGCCACCTGTACAACATGTGAACACGGATTGCCTACTTCCAGGCTTAATTTATGAGCTTAACTTCTCGATGGCTCCAGAAAACCATCCTCCAGAGCGGTGATTTCACTATCCTGTGCCCAGGCCAGAACCTAGAAGTGTGGCTAATAAGGCGCCGGACTACGGGGGCAGCAGCAGAGTGGAAGTCGACGGGATAGAGGTAAGTGTGGTGAGGGGGAAGGGGGGGGGAGGAGGGAATGAGAGCAACAGAAATCCTAGCCAGGACTGTGTAACAGTTGGAGACTCCGAGTGATGCATGATACCACCAGCCGTGATTGTTGCTTTCAGAAATTCTTCGGGTGGGGTTGTGTGTGGATCAGGCTGCAAGGCTGTATTATAAAGGTTTGTATAATCCTCTTCCCTAAGTGAAGGGGAATCTGAAATCATAATATACAGTGCCCAACATACCTTCCAGGGACCGTTCATGCCGCCTGTTCTTATGAAATTAAGCGTGAGGAACCCCTTCCCGGAGCTGTGGGTATCTATAGGGTGTCTGGTTTGCAATATCATATTACCGGCCGCAGTGATGTACATGGAGGATCATTCAATTGCTGGACCGTGGCGAAAGCTTGCTTGTGGAGCGAAGTAGTGGGAAGAGATTCCCAGTTTTCCCAGAGACTAACCGGAGTTGAATCTTCTCTCAGATGCAATCAGCGCGATGAGCCGTTTTTTGTCATTGTAATTTACGCATGCGAGGTCTCGTGTTACTTTTTTCTCTCCATTTTTACGTCCACGGGCACGGAGAATCTTTTACTGTTCCTCCACCGCGATTCCCTTCCCCTTGTAAAACTTTAACCCGTAAGCACCAAACAGGTGCTCAATTCCTTGTGAGAGTCTGCAGTGAGTAAACTTGTGAGGGCTGGCATTCCGCTTCAAATTGCGTTGATAACCAATACCCCCCAGTGTAATCACCATCTCTCCATATTCTCTGTCGTCCAGCCTTTACAACTTTGTTCGATATTTATGATCCGCTGCAATGAAATCTAGCACTCCTAGGGAAATTGGACTTGGGCGCTAAAAACAAGTTCAATCGGATATAGCTTCCATGTGATTGGCCGAGTTCAGTTGGCTATGAACCCGTCGAACCATTTCATATAGCCCAAGCCTCGTATTCGGCATTAAGTTCTACAGGCAATAACCAATGATACTCGGTACCTAAAATATGGCTACGCCCTCCGCCATCAGGGTAAAAAAAAAAAAACTCAACTTCAGTGACAGTGTTGTCCATGATCTACCCCCACTCCCTCTCTTACACCCGCTCTCCAGGAGATCGCGCTGTTTTCCCCTAATGCCTTTTGTCATGTATGTAATTTCTCATATTCCCTCTATTGCAGGTGCTCGGTCTTAGGCCCATCTTGCTCTTTGCGATCTCCATTCTGGACTATACCTACAGCAAGATGCGAACCCAGCTAGGGGGATCACCGTGAAAGCTATCTGGGAAAAATGGATCAAAATCTCGTTCCCCCGGATTTCAATTATCGTGGCCAGGGATGCTGAGACATGTCTGGCGCTGCCGGTGTGGTCGATGGTTGGGGTTGATCCTGGTTCGTTTTGTTTTATGCTGTTAGGGGTGGGGGTTGGTGACGTTGGGAAGGCATGTAAGGATTGAGAGGAATGTGATATTGACCATGGTGAGGATGATGAGGAGGCGGAGGAAAGAAGGAAGAGAGGGAGGAAAGGAAGGGATTATGCATTCTACCGATAACAGTGCAATTTGGGTTTCTACCGACATAAGAGTCGGGGTAAATGTTTTGCTCCTACGCATGAGAGAGACACTGAAATTAGTAATCTTGGTTGGAGACCCTTTGGGCGCGGTAGAGATCAGGTATCGTTCAATCATCGCTCAATACTGGTTGATAGGCAGAAAAGACGGATAAGAGAGTAAAAACACAGAAAACATGCAAGCACGAATCTCCCAACATTGCAAATTGACCTCCCAGAAACATCCTGCCCAAACCGCCGGCACAATTTCAATCACACCAAAACCCAAGACAAACCCGCGCAGGTGGTATCCCGAGATGTGACGCCCTCGGCTGGTTACCTCGGGATTGATGAGGCAATCTGATCCTGTGTTTGGCGGATACATGAGTGGAAAGGTGATCCCTCCCTTCGATCCCCTTATCTCCGACCCTATCGCATCCCGGGATCGGGCAGTCTACGAGTAGATTGAGATGCTTCACTTCGCGGTAGCGGTCCAAAGCCTGCTTAGTCGGGAATGGGAATCGCCAGGTGCAACCGGGCTCGTGGCAGAGGTAACTCCTCTCGGGGCGTGTTCGGGCGCAGCTATGAAATCGTGAGAGAGGGAAACATGATAGGCGGTGTGAGAGGGAAGGTGCGGGTTTGAGGGAGAACAAACCTACTGACAGTATCATCATTCGGGTGGCGCTCGTGATGCAGGGGAGCAGTGCTTGGTCTTGGAGGCAGAAGCCAGAACTGTCAGCAATCAAGGGATGAACCATAGAGTGGTTATCATGGGTAACCGGTGCGACAAGTGTGTGGGGAGCAAGGGCGGTAAGGTTTGCTGGACCATTGACGGAGGAAGAATCATCATTGCCGGGATAGAGTGACGATCACCAAGTCCTGCGGGTAGCGATTGTGGCTTTCCGAGATTGTCAAATGAGACTAGCCCGAACACAGGTGCTGCAGGAGCAGCAGGTCTTAACCTATGTCTTTGCCAACAGTCGTCCTTGATCAGGGGGATCCTAGACTGATTGAAGATCGTGGACCCAACTTTAAATTCAAGGAAACTGTGAGTTTGTAGAGAGTTCGTTAGACGAAGAGCAAGAACGAGAGCATGCAAAAGTGGGAGAGAGAGATCTGGGGAGTTGCAGGGGACAAGAGGATCGAAGTTTGAATTGAGGTTCAAGAATATGCGAGGGATTGATAGTGCTGGCGGAGGGGATACTACGACTGCTCGATCGGAGTTGTCAATGACCGCTCCGGAGATGGGTGATTTGCAGAAAACCGCAATAGCCTATGGCGAGAGAGTGTGTGAATGCTCTGGTGACTTGTTTGATTTTCGCGGGTCTTGAATTGGGTAGGTGTACCAGTACTGTACATTAGGACGGTTTCCGGGGCATGACAAAACTACCGTAGCGGTATGATATCATAGCTGGTTGATTAAAAGGGGAGCCACGCCAAAACCTAACCTAGTCCTAGCTTAGTACGGTATTCCATTCCATAGTACTCGAGTACAGCAATGACACTTTGCCCAAGTTTTGGTACTCGAGTCCATACAGGGTTCTCTGTGATGTACGCTACGGTACTGCCATTTGACCATGTTGGATCTCCATACCTTATTTTGCAATTCCGACTACTTGTTAAAACTAATTGCCGTTTGTACTTCTGTCATTAAGGAAAAGATTCCCTCATTCTACTTTTCTTTCTTTTTCCCTTTTTCTGAGTCTAATTCCCCGCTTACTAGCACCAGAGGATTTCCTCCAAAACCGTCTGGACGGAATAACCCGGCCAATCACTCCATCCACATCCGCGCATCCCCTGGCGATTACTTCGCACGGATGTCTGGGCAGAGTCTCCACGCTGGTGCCCATTTTGGATTAGGCTTGCCAATGTGCAAATCACTAACCTAGTCAATTCTCTTCTCGCAGGGGTCGCTGGCACAGTTATAGCGATCAAAAGGCTCTTGGTAGCTATTACGTATTAGTTGAAAGGTAAAGGTACCGGAGAGTGGTTATCCTGATAGGGCGATGAGCCGGGCTTTCGGGAGGAGTTGTTGCCCCCAGACATAGAGGCAAGCTTGGGCCCACCACATCTACAAATTCATGAAACATCAGCGAATCCTCGGGGCCCAGTGGACAGAGCTTGGAGCCGACTTGTGGGAGTCCCTTCCGGCTCCCCACTACTTACTCTGCTTCCATACACCCTCGATGACAGCGCTATATATTGGAACGATTGCGCGCGTATCCGCAACCATCGCATCTCCGTCACGAAGCTTTCTTAAGTTGTTGAACATCTCTCCGGCAGGGTATATCCAATTTACACTGCTACAGCCTGGATACCGTGGATCATGCTTCGAATTCGACGCATCCATGTCCGCCCGTGGGATTGCTGAGACCTCGCGGATGACAGTTTTGTTGAACGAGCTGAGTGAGGTAGAGGACATGCGTCTGGTCCGGTGGCGGGGGTGATGTTGAGATTTTCTGAGCTCGGTATTTTTGGTGGAGTTGGGGAAAAGAGTGAGCATGTGCAAGGAAAATGTTTCCTCTCTAGTGAGAGGCCAGGTTTCTCCCGATAACTAGACCCGATGGAGAAGGGTTTGAGGGGTTGAGACCTACCCGCTCAGCATGGCGTTTCTGGTGAGTTACCGCGGCCCTTGGGGCATTATTTCAGGTCGCGATTGAAAATACCTTCAATTTCCCCGCTGGGTTGTTATTTTCTTTCTTCTCCTCTTTTAAAAAAATGACACAAGAATAAATCATGGCCGATGAGAAGCTCTACTCGGTGTGCACTACCGCCCCTGTCAACGTTGCTCACGTCAAATATGTTTTACCCCTCTATCCCCTTGCTCAGCTCCTTCTCGCCCATGCCAGATCTTATACTCCTCAATCCTTCCCCCCATAGCGCTAAAATCGCACCATCTTCTATCTAACTTATTCTTCAATACATACTAGGGAAAGCATGACACAAAGCTCCAACTCCCCATCAACTTCTCTCTCTCCCACGTCGACCTATGAACTCCGACAACTGCCGTCTCTGGCAGCACCTTCACTGCGACCTGCCTCGGACTATCTGGTGAACGTTAGGACCTCTCGGAATCCCCGCAAATCGCTTGCCTGGGTCACCTCGAAGTTTGAAGAAAGAACCTCGAGGATGCCGACCGGTCCCTGCCTAAGCTGATCAAGTGCTGTGTTTACGTCATGTCCAAGGACAACTTCCCTACTGCAGAAGGACTGTGTCCTCCGCTGCTGGCTTCGCAGCCTTAGTTCCGGCTATTGTAGATTTTTACACGCTGCCCGACTCACTGACGGAGTTATTCATGGTCACAAGACCGGGGTCTGGGTCGGCACGCAGATTGTTGTTTGGTGGATATGTTGTGTGGGAGATGGGACAGCCTGTGGATGGGAGTGATGCGTAAACGAGGAAGTGGCACCGGCGTCTCATGGCCCAGATATGAAAATCGTTTTTTCCATCCTATCTACTGCGAAGCAGGCCCTTTCTTCTACGGCTAGTATGCGAGCTATTGTGAATACCTCTACGCTCTACACCCACCGTTTTTGGAACGTTGTTCCCAGGAGGATGGAGGCCATGAAGGCTGCTATCAAGAATCGGGACTTTAAACAGTTTTCTGGTCATACCGTGGCGGATTCCAACCAGTTCCATACGCTTTTCCAGGCTTCCAGACCTCCGATTTCTACATGAACCATGTCTCCTGGGCTGCTATGCATGCTGTCAAAGCGTGGAATATACTGGATGGGAGAGCTGTTGGAGCATATACTTTCAACGCATGCCAATATATGGTCATTTATTATCAAGACTAAGATGAAGACAAGGTTCAGGGGTTCTTGGGGGTTCTTGGGGGTGTTGTTTGCGCGAGAGGTTGCGGAGTGGGCCGTGCTCTGAACCGTTCGGGGGCCCCATAGGGACGGCAGGGATAACGCCAAGAAGACGGGATGGGACAGGACCACTGGACATGGTCCTATGTAGGGAAAATTACGTGGGGGACCGCCGTGCCAGCAAGCTATGCCCTTATTGGTATAGTGAGAGACGCTGGACAGCGGCTTCTTAGGCAGACAACAGAAGAGATGGCAGGATGGCCGGGATTGCGCTGAGGATTATAGGGGGTATTAGAAGGCGGGACGGTGTAGGAAAGGACTGTAGGGTGCAGGGATGGGCTGCGGGGGGTGGCCGTAGACGGTAGGTATTAGGAATGACAGCCGGGCATAGGTGAGCAAAGATGAGGGAGACGGTTAGGGATGGCTCATGACTGCCGGGGACTGCAGACAAACTATGAGTGATATCTTATGATGTGATATAACCAATATCGTAAATCATAGGCAGGGCAGGAAAAGAAGGTTATATATATCATCACGTGCTCTAGTACCGTATTAAGATAAGACTGAACTAATACATCCGTCTGTAAGCCTCACTTTCTCTTTCGAATACTTCTATAAGTCATTCGCTTTAACCATCCTGGTGATGTCGCAACAAAGCCAAAGAATCGATGCGACAAAAGTCGACTCTCAGCAGAATGCCTGGGATTTACCTGAGAAGTTACCGGGAAACTGAGTTGACCCTCTTAGATCAGGGCATTCAAAAATTGCGGATATGCTTGCTGCCTTGCCGATCCATGCTGCTGGTTTTTGAGTGCTAGTTTGGCAAAGACTTCGGACTGTTTTATTTCTTAAAAATGAATTCTTCCTGGCTTATTAGTTTACGCATATGACATATAATTTCAAGGATCGTAAACCATGAGTCGGATGAACTCATGAACTTGAACTATCTGAGAATACCGGCCCTTGGGATGTAATAGAAAAACGCCGCGGGGCCCTACCGGGACCGATAGCGCGTCCCGTCCTACCTCGATCTTCCATATTCCACCCATGGACTGGAGAAAGGACGGACTACCACCGGCGGTCCGTCCGGCCCTACCCCAAAGACAGACGGACTGACGGTTCGGAACACTAGGAGTGGGCCAGAAACTACGCAAAGGTTGCGCCCGAGGGATACGATAATAGCTGCTTCAAGGCATTGAAGGATGGTGTCAGTAGGGTTATCTTGTCTACGGTTGGGGAGGGACCCATCAGGGCCAATGATACACTGATTATAACAGATAGGTTTTTGGGTAGTGATGGCCACGATTAGATCATGATCGAGTTTTCCCAGACTATAGGATGCTCGATCACTCCGATCACAGGGGTCTCTCGATCACGACATGACCGAGCATGGGATTCATAATCTGCTCGATTGATCGACCATGAATACTACTCGATCACAGTCGACTATGTTCGACTAAACTCCTCTAAACGCGATCATGATCGATCACTCAGCTATAGATAGGTATCTTGGTAATCATGTGGCAATTTATACAAGTAAATGCTCGAGCATAGCCTGAGATAGTCGATGATAATCGACTATCTCACATTATTCTCTAGCAGTGCTCATGATCGATCACTCGATCAGTAATTGGGCTATTGATCGATCATCCAATCATGTGTTCCTCTCGATCAGATCATAGTCGAGCAGAACCCGTATGATCTGCTCGATCATGTTCGTGTCCATCATTATTTCCCGTGCTGGTATCTCCAGTAGGGAAATCTGTTATCCCCCATCTTCTTCCCTCTACTTTACTGCGCGTGTATGGTACAGCCACCGGTGGTGAAATTTTTTCTTTTCCTCATTTGACAGCGATTACTTTGCTAGCGAACTGTCTACGTCTTGCACGGAAGCAACCTTCTAGAACTTGTACTTTTTGTCATCTGGTTGCGGCATTTCCTGCACTATGTGATTGAAGTAGACATCTGGGTTGGCGTGTAGTGTATACTACTCACTTGTGCATCCCGATCCACATGTTTTCTAGACGGGTCTAAGTACCCCTAGCCCTTGGAAACGCTTCCCTAGTTCAGCGGGACAAAAAGAAAGGCCGATAAATGCTTACCATGTCCCTAGGTATATCTCCGAAAATAATGATCTGGGGGGCTGATATTCTGTTGTTGTTTTTTTGTAGGTGCCAGTGTTGATATTTGGGCAGAGGGAAATGCACGAGACAATACCGACAAGGCTGTGCCAAGCTTACCACTGATTTTTTTTTCTCTTTTCTTCACCTCCAGCTACCAGTGATCGGCCCGGCCTTGCACTTGGGAAGAGAACATGCTTGAATATGGTACGTCTCTAGGAGACTCCGCATAAAGTATGTCTCAGGCTTCTTGGGGGACCTTCATAACACTGACCTAAATAGAAGTACAACTCCTCAGAGGATAATTAAACTCCTATCTCCCTCCCGGTTATCTATCAAAGCTCTGCTTCCTGCTCGCTGTACTGTATTTCTGTCCCGTCAGCACAGATTACATAACACAACACATGCTAGATTCATCAAGGATCACGTGTAGGTTTTTTGTTTGCTTTTGTCAATCCCCTAAACCCCAGGAGCCAAAGTGCGCCCGAAACCAAAGTGTGCCCCCAGAAACTATTCGACCAAACAAACTATCATAATATTATTATGGTGTATGCCGTCTAGACACAGCACCAAGTGGGACGCAACAGGCAGTCGCGTGAAAAAAGTTTGTGGACATCGGGCCTTGGCAAGACACATAGAAAGGTCTTCTCTGATGGGAAGAAATCTTAATTGTTGTAATAACCACATGATGCCAAAATCCAGGTGCAAGAAAAATAGCAAGATTGATCGCAAGGATCGCATATCTATAATCGAGTGGCATGCTGCTGGTGAATCCTATCGCAAAATAACTGAGGAACTTGATGTTTCAAAAAGCGCGGCTCACAAGATCATGACCTCCTGGCAAGAGGATCGCAAAATAGACCCCACACCATGGTCTGGGACTCTAAGATGATTATCCTCGAGTGATGAGAGATACCTGAAGATTACCTCTATGCAGGACCCCCATGCAACATTGCATGATATTACGAGCTCCTTAGATCTTGATGTCTCTGAACATATAGTAGGAGACTCCCTACGACGCCAAAATCTATGAGTCCGAGTTTGCTGTCACAAACCTTGGTTAACTCCTAAAAATTGCTCCCTACGACATCAATTTGCCTATCTCCATCGCTACTGCTCAGACACCTAGTGGAAGCAGCATCTTTTCACTGACAAGGTTTACCTCCAAATCAGTCCACAACACCTCTGTCCCACAGTTTGTCACCCACCTGGTACCGCCTTTGAGGAACGATATCTGGCTCCAACTTTCATTGGAGAGTGTCACGGCCACCCGGCGTGCTGGACGTGGAGGAATATTGGACTTTTGGTTGCATATATCGGATGTGGTTTCTTTGGTTGCGTTGTAGGATTTCCTTTGTGTTATGATTGGGATAGGTTGCCACGCGACGGAACCTGGCGGAACATGATGGAAAGATCGCGGCTGCGCGCG